CCATCAAACCACTAAAAGTTAAACTTTTAGCAGGGGAGTACGAAGCAACTGAGTCAAATTTTGGTGTTTTCCTTTTGGTCCATGTTTAGTGAAGATTCCAAAAGGTTAGCCTTTTTATTTCCAAGTCCTTTGAGCAAGTGAGAATGCATTTTTTTCAGTTGCTGAAACGAGTATGTGTTTAGTTTTCTCCGAGGCGACTTTGCTAGACATATTGGCTCTAGTTTTGCCGGATGTATTCTGCACATGGCTGGTCAAAAACATGCACCGCAATGGCACCTTGGTAAGACTACCTGCGGTTTGCCCGGGCCCTAGCCCTTTGCTGATTTTGAGCACGCAAATGGTCTCTCCTTTTGCAGGGGACCCCCCGAAATTGTGGTTTTCCTTTTGGACCCCTTTAGAACCATAAAACAAAGGTAGCAACTCCAGAAAGAGACAGACCCAAAGTGAGGCGTTCCGACTTGGAAGTAGCTGCCGTAGGACAGGCCGGCGAATGCCGACGAGTTTTTTTCCGGCGATGCGGAAAAGGAGGTCCGGCGGCAGCTTCCAGCGACCTGCCCAGTGGATCCCAGATTCGATTCGCCATTGGTTGTTGACCCGGCCATGGGTCCAAGTCCAAATCGTACCCCCTGTGAACATCCGATTCAATCCAACCACTAAAAATAGGTTCTACAATGGGTGGTGAAGTCACCTACCAACCAAAATAACACCATTGGTTTTGACCCACAGCCACCTCCTTACAACAAGGTGAAATCCATGGAACGGGGGACTTACAAGTGGATTGTAGCCTAGGTTCCCCACAACTTACTCACTTGGCCGAACACCCAAGCAGGTAGCCAGCCATTGTCCTTTTCGTTTTTGAAGGGTGACAAGGCCTTTGTCACCTACTATGCAGGTAAATGAATCCATGGGGTTGGTCTGGTTAAACCGGGTTCGTGGCAAGACCCTGCTTTAGCTGTGAAAGGGTGTCCTTGTTGTGGGTGAAATGGGGCCATGTGGACTTCATGGCATGAAGCGGCCAAGTGGGCACGTGTCAAAATATGGATTTGGAAGCCGGGGACCCCGACCACGATGCGTCCGTTGTTTTTGTGTTTGTTTCCTTTTGTGTGTGTGTGTGTGTGTGTGTTATTGTTATAACTATGTTTATTATGATTATTATGTATGTATGTATGTATGTAATGTAATGTATGTATGTATGCATGTATGTATGTATGTATGTATGTATGTATGTATGTAATGTATGTATGTATGTATGTATGTATGTATGTATGTAATGTATGTATGTATGTATGTATGTATGTATGTATGTATGTATGTATGTATGTATGTATGTATGTATGTATGTATGTATGTATGTATGTATGTATGTATGTATGTATGTATGTATGTATGTATGTATGTATGTATGTATGTATGTATGTATGTATGTATGTATGTATGTATGTATGTATGTATGTATGTATGTATGTATGTATGTATGTATGTATGTATGTATGTATGTATGTATGTATGTATGTATGTATGTATGTATGTATGTATGTATGTATGTATGTATGTATGTATGTATGTATGTATGTATGTATGTATGTATGTATGTATGTATGTATGTATGTATGTATGTATGTATGTATGTATGTATGTATGTATGTATGTATGTATGTATGTATATGTATGTATGTATGTATGTATGTATGTATGTATGTATGTATGTATGTATGTATGTATGTATGTATGTATGTATGTATGTATGTATGTATGTGTAATGTATGTATGTATGTATGTATGTATGTATGTATGTATGTATGTATGTATGTATGTATGTATGTATGTATGTATGTATGTATGTATGTATGTATGTATGTATGTATGTATGTATGTATGTATGTATGTATGTATGTATGTATGTATGTATGTATGTATGTATGTATGTATGTATGTATGTATGTATGTATGTATGTATGTATGTATGTATGTATGTATGTATGTATGTATGTATGTATGTATGTATGTATGTATGTATGTATGTATGTATGTATGTATGTATGTATGTATGTATGTATGTATGTATGTATGTATGTATGTATGTATGTATGTATGTATGTATGTATGTATGTATGTATGTATGTATGTATGTATGTATGTATGTATGTATGTATGTATGTATGTATGTATGTATGTATGTATGTATGTATGTATGTATGTATGTATGTATGTATGTATGTATGTATGTATGTATGTATGTATGTATGTATGTATGTATGTATGTATGTATGTATGTATGTATGTATGTATGTATGTATGTATGTATGTATGTATGTATGTATGTATGTATGTATGTATGTATGTATGTATGTATGTATGTATGTATGTATGTATGTATGTATGTATGTATGTATGTATGTATGTATGTATGTATGTATGTATGTATGTATGTATGTATGTATGTATGTATGTATGTATGTATGTATGTATGTATGTATGTATGTATGTATGTATGTATGTAATGTATGTATGTATGTATGTATGTATGTATGTATGTATGCATGTATGTATGTATGTATGTATGTATGTATGTATGTATGTATGTATGTATGTATGTATGTATGTATGTATGTATGTATGTATGTATGTATGTATGTATGTATGTATGTATGTATGTATGTATGTATGTATGTATGTATGTATGTATGTATGTATGTATGTATGTATGTATGTATGTATGTATGTATGTATGTATGTATGTATGTATGTATGTATGTATGTATGTATGTATGTATGTATGTATGTATGTATGTATGTATGTATGTATGTATGTATGTATGTATGTATGTATGTATGTATGTATGTATGTATGTATGTATGTATGTATGTATGTATGTATGTATGTATGTATGTATGTATGTATGTATGTATGTATGTATGTATGTATGTATGTATGTATGTATGTATGTATGTATGTATGTATGTATGTAATGTAATGTAATGTAATGTAATGTAATGTAATGTAATGTATGTATGTATGTATGTATGTATGTATGTATGTATGTATGTATGTATGTATGTATGTATGTATGTATGTATGTATGTATGTATGTATGTATGTATGTATGTATGTATGTATGTATGTATGTATGTATGTATGTATGTATGTATGTATGTATGTATGTATGTATGTATGTATGTATGTATGTATGTATGTATGTATGTATGTATGTATGTATGTATGTATGTATGTATGTATGTATGTATGTATGTATGTATGTATGTATGTATGTATGTATGTATGTATGTATGTATGTATGTATGTATGTATGTATGTATGTATGTATGTATGTATGTATGTATGTATGTATGTATGTAATGTATGTATGTATGTATATGTATGTATGTATGTATGTATGTATGTATGTATGTATGTATGTATGTATGTATGTATGTATGTATGTATGTATGTATGTATGTATGTATGTATGTATGTATGTATGTATGTATGTATGTATGTATGTATGTATGTATGTATGTATGTATGTATGTATGTATGTATGTATGTATGTATGTATGTAATGTATGTATGTATGTATGTATGTATGTATGTATGTATGTATGTATGTATGTATGTATGTATGTATGTATGTATGTATGTATGTATGTATGTATGTATGTATGTATGTATGTATGTATGTATGTATGTATGTATTATTATTATTATTAGTATTATTATTATTAGTATTGTTATTATTATTATTTATTATTATTATGATGGTATTCCTTTGTTTTCTCCTCACCGAAATGAAACTGGGTACCCTCCAAAAGACCAGAACTGTTGGCGGCCGGCTGGTTTTTTTGGGTGATAGGATACCATGTGAGAACAGAGGAGCCAATTTATCGACTGCTATTGGGTTGGATCTTTTTAGACTTTAACTTTTTGGGAAATGTTTAAGTGTTTTCCACTAAACCCCAAAAAGTTAAACTTTTGCAGGGGGGTCAACAGCAACCAAGATTTGGCCACTAAACACATGATCATTGTCCAACAGAACAAAAGGGATAATGTGCAGGTGAATGATATAAGTAACCCTGTGGACGTATCAGTTTTGTTGAACATACACCCCACACCCAAGAAACAGTTTTGTTTATAGTGTTTGGGTTTTGACAATTTTAGTGGCAAACCAACAAGTTTGGACTTGTTCTTTAAGATAATTTGGAAGACAAGGGGCTGGAGGCGGTTTGCAGGCTTCAAAACTGACTTGTCGGTTTAAGGATGGACGACTCTTTAGCTTTTCTCAAGAACTGTACACCGGGGATGAACCAGTGTTTTGCCAGGGTCACCCCGACCAATGCCTTCCTCGCATTAGTAAATCTCGCCCACCCTCCAACAATAAATATTTGTTTGTTGTGAAAACATGTTTAATAGGGTTTTAGGGTCCAGTTCTGTATCCAAGAACCCTCACGTTTTGGGCATCGGAATGAACACGCATCATGGGAGGGATGGGATATGCTCAAAAGGCAACATTTCGAGAGCTCTTTGACATTCAGGCTAAGGTACCCAGCTGCAGCGCGCCAACAATCTGCGGCTCCAGCGGTTTTTAAGTTCCGGCTTGCGCTTGCACCCCGCAATCAATTATGTGCGTTTGCGATCTCTTCTTTGCCTCGGAAGGTTCTGTAAAATATGAATCAGCATCACAAATACTGTGTTGGGTTCAGCAAATATGGGCCAGAATGAAAGAGCATCTTTAGTTGGGGGCGAAAGCTGAGGTCTTGTTTATGTTCTTTCCATCACTGGGTAGGGAAACAGCGTCCAGACACGGATCTCTAGACCACTCTGCCTCGTGGCGGAAATGTGCAGCTGCCAAATAAAGCAGTTTGATTTCGGCAGTCTTCCTGTTGAAATGAAACAGATTTGGTTTGGCTTTCCAGGGAACACGCAATTGTTTTGCTTGCATACCGGTAGAGAAGGTCTGAGACTCAGACTTGCCCGTCGACGCGGCAGCTGATTCAAATCGCCGATGTTCTCATACCTGAACAAGGCGAGAGGGCTGGGAGTTGGGAACTCAAAATGTCCTCACCTTCCATTTGTTTAAGACTATCTGGATTCATTCTGCCCCTTGTTGGTTTTTAAGGGACTCTATTTTTCATACTCTATCACTGCTGGTATTTTTTCCCCAGGGGACTCTGCAAATTTCATGGATGTCAACCACAGGCTCAGGCACAAGGAGATATTCAATACATGAAGAACTCGCTCCCCGAGTTCCTGGACTTTGAATCATTTTTGTTGGGAAGACCATTGAGTTCAAACAGTTGAGGCAAAGGGGTCAACATATCCGCCAATACTTGCCTAAACAGTTTCATCATCCAGTTTGGGTCAGCCATTCTTTTAATGGAGCTCGAACCGAGTGAAACAAAAAAACAAAACCCTGCTACTAAAACACTATACCCAAACTCATGAAAACCTTTTTGGAAAGGATAAAAACTCGTCTAATCCACGGGTTGAACACTTCATGAGGTTGAAGCCTGGAAATTGCAGCAGGGCTCCTTAAAAGATCTCCATTTTGCAACCGTTTGAAGCATGTTGCATTTTCAACACCAAAATAAAGTTGGACACCACCATTTACAAGGCAATGTTTAGGTGTATAATGAATCCGGATCCCTGTTCAGTGATGAATATGTTTCGCCCTGGTGGTATCCCCAAGCCCAAGGAAACCTTGCGGGAACCTGAGACCGGAACTGAACTTGAACCGGAGCCTTGCGCGGCAGAGACAAAAAATAGCTTCAATCAAGCTGTTAGGGGAACATTTTATTATTATTTTTAAATCAATCCACTCCGGAAGTGAGGAATTACAAAGCTAGAGGAATGATTCAACTCTGATTCCTCATGTACTCCCTGATAAGCTTGAGGAATTGCAGGGAGCCCAAACGTGACACCTTTGGGACGGGGGTAGACTTGTTGTAATCTGCCTTGGGGTCAGGGCCCTGCCTGGACGACTTTTATCCCCACTGTGGAAGGGGGGGGCTCTAGTGGGTGCCCCGTTGAATGCTATTGGCTGGGACGGATCTTCACCCTTACTTCCATGTGCTTAATGATATTGTTTATGTTCCCTTGTTGGTCTTACAGAACATCTATCACTGCTGGAAATATTCCATTTTTGCCAGCGGGCTTAGGCAAATAAATGCTTGCTTCGTTGTTTGGGGTCTTTGAACCGCCTGGCGCCGCCACGGCCTGTGGGAGAGCTTTTCGATTCACTTTGGGGCTCCGTGAATTGCAAAAACAAGGGAGATAAGGCAAAGCTTGCTGAGCACTTGGGTGTTCGATTCGCTAAGGTAGTAAAACCTAGGTTGTACCCCATGTATAGGTTTCCCTGAGTGGGGCTAACCTGGCTACACGGGGGTGAACAAGTCTAAATGGCGGTGACCGCTACTAACTTGGCGAATCGAAGATCCAAGCACTCCAAGTGGCGCGAGCACTTGCGCCATGTTGGTTTTTGGTCCTGAAAGATCAGGGAGGGGGGTGAGTGGGGTGTGGGGGTGTGGGGGGTGTTCAAGCTGTGGAAGTATTTTTCAGTTTCACGGTTTTGGAATGGAATCCAAGTGAGTCCGCTCACGAAGCCCTTTCTCAATAAACCCCAGAGCCGGCAGTGACTCCTCTCGGCGCGTTTTTATCTTTAACCGGTTCTGCACCTTGAACCACGATGTGTGGGGGTGTTTTATTGCCCCTACTCCGAATGCCCGCTTCTTTGGGGTTTGTCCTGAAAAGCAGGTACTCATTTCAAGGGAACCTCCGTGTGTTTCCAAAGATACCAACTGAGCCACGCAGGTTTTGGGTATTTGAGTGTCTCTTTCTTGGGGGGCCAAAGTTGCCAACTGAGCTAAGTGGGTAATTGGCTGTGTCTTTGTTTATTTTTCTTTTCTTGGGGGGGGGACATATACAGGTATATACAGGTCTTTCCCAGCTTCACTTTTGGGCCTCTCCGTGCCAACCGGTCGCAGATCGGAAGCCTCCTCGACGAGATCGATGGCGGCAAGGCATGGGGTGAACCGCGTCGGGAGTGGCCGAGAGGCGGTCAGTACTCCGTCCATGAGCTTCGGTGGCCACCAGTAAAACACATGTTTGGTTCATATACCCACTAGTTTTTTTTTCTCCCCCTTTGGCTGCCTGAATTGTATCCTTGCCATGCTGTTAGGGATTGACAAGTCGGGCCCAAGACTATCCCCGGATCAGTGAGGCTTTGGGGTTGCTGAGATGCTAAGGGGGTTGTCCCCTTTCGTGGGGATCCGGATCACGTTTGGTGACCCCCCGCTGTCACGCTTTATCAACCTAGAAAAGCTTGCATTTACCATGGAAAACCTGGTGAACACACATCAGGGGGTAGATGAGCACCGTTCAATATATTTGAGTTCCCAGACTTTTACTTCTTCTTTTTTTCTAGCGACCATGTTTAGTGGTCAAGTAGATTGGTTTGCTTGGCCAATCCGCTTGAAAGCTGAGCTTCCTGTCGTCTTCAGGAAACTGAGGATGAGATGGAGCGCATCCACTCACCAAAAAATCACGTGGGTGTTTTAAGCACCAAAATCCAATACCATGGGGGCACAGAATAAACATTTTACACTTACTATACACCGTATTAGACTATGCATGGTTCCTTGTTTTCTTTCGTTTTGGGATGATTTCAATGGGGGGGCACTGCAAGAATGGTCTTCCATTTGCTTAATGATATTATTCTATTTGGCGTCAATGAGAAACGATCTGTCCCTACGTACTGGGAATACTGTATATTTTCCAGGGGACTTCAGAGCAAATGGCAAATACCTCTTGGTTTAGTCTGGGGTTGACATCATGCCCATCATACCCTGAAACAAGTGGGTATTGGGTGATTGCGGGGGTATGCAACTGGTCCATTCAGGAGGTTCCGTGAGGTTCCGTGAGGCAAGATTCGATTGCCAAGCTGCTTGTTCAAGCATGACATTGCTCAACTTACAGCAACCTCGCGAAAAGGTGCGACCTCTTTGACGGTTTAATGCAGCACTCCAAAACAGCTGCTTTTCCCATGTCCAAGGTTGGGGGATGCCGGATCGATGGGGTTCAAACCACCATAAAAGCAATGGGGGGTTAATGTAACCCCCTTTGTTTAGCTAAGGATTCTCATTATCTAGATTGGGTCCCACTCGGGCCATTCGTTTTAGTGGGGGCAAGGAACCCTAGTAGTGCCCTTTTACCCTTTTTTGGGTTCCCCTGCAAAAAGAGCCTCTCTACTGGAGGACCTAGGGGGTAAGGAACCTGACCCCTAGAAGAAGGGCTCCTTGCCCCAAATTTCAGGGGTCATGACCCCTTTTTCGGGGCCATGGAGACTCCAGGTAGAGGGATGGGGGTGGCGATTTTCCTCTTGCATTGAAGACACCGAACTGAGCTGTCCAGTCCTGGCATTCGAAGGTTATCCGGAGGACCTGGAAAAATGAGTCAGCTCTGGTAGAAAACTTCGTGAAATCAAAATAAGTACAGTGCAAAATGAGTCGGCTCCTCTGTAAATGGTAGAAAACTAGAGTCTGGGTGAAAAGGTTCATGGCTGTCTGGCATGTCTTGGTTTCCCCCTGCCCTTCCGCTCGAAACGCGCGCCACTCGCAAGGAGGCTGAGAAGGCGGAGGAGCCTGAGGTTGCGGAGCCTGGCGCTGGGGGCCCTGGTGGGTGATCGGCGCTTGGTGGGGTTGTTTTTTGGGAAGCATGATGAAGACGTGTTTAGTCTCTGTGTGATTTGTCAATTTTCTTGACAAGTTGGAGTTGGTTTTGTGCATCTGATCAGTTCATTTGTGCTTGCGTTTGGTGAATCTGAGGAAGGATTGTGTAGTTTCTTCGTGAATTTGATCAGGTCGGTTTCTTTGCTTGTTTGCGAGTCTGAAGAAGGCTGGTTGATTCCAAAAGTGTTGTGAGAGGCAAACACCAGGAATCCCCTGATTTTCCTTGCCTCCCTGCAACTATCATGGCACCTAAGGAAGAAATACCGTGCATGGTCGTGATGCGTTCGCATCATTTTCATGGGCAACCATGGTTTTTGGTATCTACGGGTTTCTTTGGTGGCGCAGTGCAGCATTTCGTCCATCCAAGGTATTCTTGTGCTTGTGTGGTGTGCTCCCACATTGCCCCATAGCACCTGCCGGTTCTCTTCAAGAGGAACTGGTCTTCCAGGTGTTGCGCCCACAGGTGCTATGCTAGTGGGAAGGCGAATCCATGGGAAGACGGGAAAACTAGCATTCCATCCGCATTGACCTTGAACCGTGTTTTGCGTTTGAATGTTTCTTCACTTCGGAAGATGTTACAAGGGCCTAGACACTTTGGGCTTGTGGGGCACCGTTAAAACTCATAGAGGGCCATTTGTAACTATCTCGGCACCGTGAAACAAAGTTAGCTCATGATCATAGAGCAAAATATTGTAGCTATGTCGCCTTTATTCGAGTTGCTTTTGTTGCAAGGGTTCTTGTTTGACTAACCCAACATGGCTTTGTGACAAGGCCCCAACAGCACCTTTTGGAAGTGGCTCTTGAAAGAACCTGCACAAGGTTCGTGGCCAAGTCTGCTCGTTCGGGTGGGAGCAGGTGAAGTTCAAACCTGTCCCATGGAAGCGGTCCTGCAAGATGTTCTGCACCCTAGGGGTCAACCCCCAGGAAAATGATACTCTTCATTTTGCTTAAGAACATGTTTGTATTTTCCCCTGTTGGGTTTAACGAGAATCTATCACTGCTGGTTTTGCTTCAATTTTGTCCAGAGGAGGTACTTTGTCCCTCTCTTTTCTCCATGAATATCTTCCCCGTTGTTTTTCCCTTTCTATATTCATCATGGGGAGGGAATGAACAATGAACGATTACTTCCCCATCCTACCTCAGCCATCACCAATATACTGGTTGCATCTGGGGCCGAGTTAAGATGTCTTGGGTTACCTTCTAGCTCAAGCTTGGAGACTAGTCCACGCGCTGCATTCCAATGATCCTTGCATGTCCGTTTCTTTCAAGCTTCTTTGAGCGGCTTTTAGTGTCTCTTCGCTGGTGCTCACATCCTTCTATTTGAGGTTCTTTAGGCTGTGAATAGAGAAAAAAGACGGAGAATGATGACTTCCTTCCTTTCTCTTACCATCCATTTGCGTAAGAATATGTTTTATTCTCCCTTGCTGGTTTCAAAGGGAATCTATCACTACTGGACATATTTTTTATTTCCTCAAGGGGGCAAGAACGCAAATGGAAGTTACCTAGTTCTTGCCATGGGGAAGCGACCCCTTCTTGGGTATTCCCCAGTGGGTCAGAAGGATACTCCTCGCGGCGTTGAGGAGCGGTCTTGGACCCATTTGCTGAGCTCCGCCTCTGCAGCCGCCAAGGAGGGGGTTCGCCCGAAAGTCTTCCGGGGTAATTACGACGTATTTCTTCTTGACTGCTATTGGGTTAGATCTTTAGACTTTAACTTTTTGGGAAATCAACGGGTTTTCCACTAAACCCCCAAACAGTTAAACTTTTTGCAGGGGGGTCACCAGCAACCAAGTCTTGGGCAGCCTTGTGGTTTGAGGGATTCATATCCACCAGCCACCTTGGTTTACAGGGTGTCTCTGGTTTGGTTGGGATTCAGACCACAATTGGCGGGGAGACCCCCCCCTCCTCCGACAAAGAAAACATCGGCCGGGTTTGGAAAATCCGGGGTCAATAATATGAATTTTGGTTGGGGACGCTTGCGGTTCACGCCATTTAGGTGGGGATTTCCCTCAAGTGGGTGTGGCTCAAAATTGAAGAGCTAGGGCAAACCGCAGGTTTTAGTCTTTAGCTCCATTTACCAGGTGTCCGCTTGGGGATGCCTATTTTTGACCCACAGCCAAGTCATGTGACATGTGCAGATCTCTGGGGGCATCTAGTCCCTGGAGTGTAGTTACCACCATTAAAGCAATGGTTGGGTTGTCGCTCTCTCTTGGATGCAGAACGACTCCGCGCGACGCTAAAAAACATGCAAAACGAAACACAGGCACTTCAAAGGAAATCACGCTGATGGTCGGGTTATTATAACCATCTAAGGATCAACATCATCTAAATTGCTTCGACCATTGTTTTACTAGGGGTATGGGTTCTATAGGGTAGTGGCGTCCCTTTTGATTTGTCTCTCTCTTCTTTTCGAGAAGCTTCCGAACCCAACAAACTCATCCATGTTCGTGGCCCAGAGGTTTGCAAACTGCTATGAACCGACAGGCGGAACCATCCCTGTGTCTTCACAAACTTGACTGCTATTGGGTTGGATCTTTAGACTTTAGCTTTTTGGGAAATCAAAGTGTTTTCCACTAAAAAACCCTCAAACAATGATTCACTTTTTGCAGTGGGGTCAACAGCAACCAAGCAAAGTGGGAGTTGCAAGGTGTCCCTTTGTGATCTTTGTGGGGCATCCTTTGTTCTCGCGTGAACTTACCCGATGGATTTATACACAAGAGCCATCCCCGGGAAGGGAATTGTGAGGCCATTTCAGCCAGCGGAGAGGTTGCAACCTACGCACTCAAACAGTCTTAGGGCATGGTATATAATATTAATTACTCAGGTTTCATTTAATTGGTGATTTGGGTTGGTGGTTTGAACCCTTGCATGTTGTGGAAGCCATTGGGAAGGTAGCCCTCCCTCCAAAACTGCAATCCAAACTACCAATTAGATAGAAGGAAGCTGAAAACTGCACACGTATAGTATTCATAATTTACAGATATCTTGATGTCTTCCCATTTCGCGCCTGCCATCTGTCACACACACACAGAGACACAGACACAGACACAGACACAGACACAGACACAGACACAGACACAGACACAGACACAGACACAGACACAGACACAGACACACACACACACACAGACAGACAGACACTCACACAGAAACAGACACACAGACACACAGACACACAGACACAGAGGCGCAAAAACACACAGGCACGCAGACACACACACACACAGAGAAAGGCACACACAGGCACACACACACACAAACGCACACACACAGACACAGACACAGACACAGAAGACAGAAGACAGAAGACACACGCACACACACACATGCGCATTTGTTCAACAGCAGCTGAGCTTTGGAGCTCTGGGGTGGTTTGGAGCAGCTTTCAGGAAAATGTCCTCCACGTTTCCGGGGGGTGCTTCCATTTGCTTCAAAGTACTGCTGATGGTTTGAAAGGGAACCGATTTCACTATTGGCAATAGGTTGTTTTTTTCAGATTAGATGGTTGGGGATACAACCTTGACGTTTTATTGTAAGGTCTTCGAGCAACAGTCAGGGAACCCGCAATTAGTGGTTTGGATGGGTGGCTTGGGGATTTGAACCCTGGTTCTTTACAGAGCGTAACTGGGGTTAAGCGCTCCTTAGCATCGCTGCCCCAGGAGTCAAGGAGTGTTTGCGACGTGCCCCATGAAAGTTCCTTAGGGAAGCGGTTGATGTTTGGCAGTCAACATTTGCCAAACCATCACACCCACCAAAGGACCAAACCCCCAAATATTATTTAC